GATTGGCATGAGAAAGGTAGTCCCTGGAACTGTCTACGGAAAGATCAGACTGCCCTCTATGGCTAGGTTTTATCTGATGGCTTGAGTGACATTCCAATTTCCTGCACAATTTCTTTGCCAAGCAGCTGTCACCACTCAGTGATAGAAAACAGCCAATTTGATTTCTGAAACCATTGCTGTTAGGAAGCAACTGGGTTGCCACCTGCTGATTAGTGGCTCCTTTCGACTGCACCCTTGGCTTCTCACCTCCTACACTCGCTCCAGCATTGCACACCTTCCAGTTCCTGATGGGGATGATATGCTCCATGATAGGATTGAAAAATATTATTAATAAACGATAATTAATAATTTATTAATAAATCCTGCAAGCAGATAATTTATGAAGGATTTTTATTCTTGATGTGGTACCTTATGCATAGACTGTAAAACTAACGGAGATCTGCTCAGCTTAGATGTTGCAGCAGGTGTTCCCCGCTGCCCCAGTTGATATTCTGAAGAACTCTACTGTTACTGGAAAACAACTCAAACTCCAGGGTTTCAGTGGAGGAATAAGTTCAAAATTTCCCTCCTGCTTCTCTAGTTTCAAAACTACACACGGTTTGTTAGAAAGTTCCCAATATTCTTGGAAACACTCAATTATTGTACTTCCTCCCAGAGTCTATCAACAATACTTACGATATAAACTTCACAGAATGTGATCTTATCTCCAACGAGCTCAACATGCCAGCCAAAACAGTGAGCTGCGGCTGAGCAAAGTCAAGCTAGCACATGTTCAAGCCTAATTATTAAGAAGTAAAGGAATTAGGACATTTCTCCTTCTGAGATTTCTGATTCCAGACTTTCTTTTCAGAGCCTAACCTGGGAGAAAAGGGAGAAGTTGTAGGGATAGTGAAGAAAGAAATGAGAGAATGAAGGAAGCAAGAAAGATAGAGGGGTAAATGTAGGCGGCAATTTATAAGAAAGACAAGTTATTTGCCACTCACGACGAGCCAGGTACTGTAATAATAACTTGATGTTGCTTTAATATCTCAGCAAGGTCCATGTTTTCACCCCTAATTCACTGAGTGACTTGGGAGGATAGCTGGTCTACCTTAGTTACACAGCAGCAAATGGTAAAGCCAGGACTGAAAGCCAAATTTTTGCTCTTAACTACTATTCTCTCCAGAACTTTGCTTTAAAAAAAGAGCAGCTGGTGACATGGGAGCAGCAAGGGCAGTCGCCTAAACGACTGAGACAAAAGAAGATGCTGGGAAGGGGAGATGAGAGAGAGGAAGGTCACAGGAGAGAAAGCGGCTGGGATTACAGAGGAGAGGTTTTCTTGTAATTATAGTCCACTGTACATGTGCACACCCATGTACACACGTGCACACACCTTCATGCGTGTGCACACACACACGCACGTGCGCGCGCGCACACACACACACATACACACGGTTTCTCAACGGCAAAACTGGATACTCCCCAGCCCTGCCCCTCATGCCCTGGATCTGATGCCCTTCTATTCAGGCCTTTCCACATGGAGCTTTCGTAGGTGTCTGGCCTCTGCGATCCTTGACCTTCTTTCATCTTCCAAGTACAGGTGCCCCCCCATGGCACAGCCTTGCTTCCCTGGATGGACACAATCATTCCCACAAATGTCGCCGTCGCATTCAAACGGAATCCCTCCAGGCTGTTTCTACATCTGCCAGTTCCTCACTGACCTCTAACCCCCTTTTTGACATTGTGAACTGAGGCATCCCAAATTTCAGCTGGCAGCCATCCTCCCAGACTCAAAGCAGCTCCTTCACCTTAATTCTGGCTGACTTCTCCTCAGTCATGGTGACGCCAAGTACTGAGGTTCTTTCTAATCATGTTCTACTCCTCATTCACTCTAGTTCAACACCAAAGTTAAATAATTCAACACCCATACAGTGCTGTGATCCCACCCATACAATGTTGCTTCGTTGCAGGCACGCACCGTCTGAATCCTCACCACTGCCATCCTGGGCAGAAACCCTCACCAGGACCCCTCTTGGAACTTGCTACCTGCCTCTCTGCAGGCAGCTTCAACCCCTCACTCACCCTCACATGAAGTCATCTTTCTGAGACTCAGGCCTTAAGAGCAAAGATACCTTTAGGTGTTTCAATTACCAAAAATATAAGAACCCATCGCTCAAGGAGTTATCTGCTGATTGTATCGTGTTCACACTGAATTCCTGTAGTTTCCTCTGAGACCCGTCATGTCCCTCTGCCTTGGCAGCCACCACATGGTATTTTAACAGCAGCACTTAGGCCATGGCTGCTGGCAGGCTAGTCTGTGAACCCGCGAGCTGTGATACACCCTTAGATATATATCGTTCCCTGGAGGATATATAATCCTTATGATTCATATATCTATATTATCTATCTCTTAT